AGATAAGAGCCCACAACACAGAATCCAGGACAGATAAACTCCTCAGGGCCAATAAGGTGAATAGAGACACCAGAAGGATTAGGGGTGGTAGTGGGGGGCGATTAGAATAGGGGAATCGATCACAAGGATCAAACTAGAACCCCCTACCAGGGGGACGAATAACGAAAATGTGGATGAGGGGTGATGGAGGATAATGTAAGATACGGAAAAATTATAACTTATCAAGGGTTTGTGAGGGAGGATGGGCGAGGCAGGAGGGGAAGAAATGGGGTGCTGATAATAGGGGCTCAAGTGGGAAGAGGATGCTTTGAAAATGATGATGGCGGCATATGTGCAAATGTGCTTGACACATTGCAGGAATGTATGGATTGTGATAAGAGAAGTAAGAGCCTTCAATAAAAGTATTTTTTAAAGAGTTGCAGTCTTGTAAACTGACAGAGGCAGCTCTACCCTGTCTTGTAAGGTTGCTGTGAATCAGAACAGACTTGATGGCAGGGAGCTTGGAGGTCTTGTTGGGTTTAGATGACAGGTCCATCCTCACTGGATGGTTCTAGTAGGCTCCCAGCCTTTGTTAGCATCCCGGGGATAGGCCAGTCATTTTGGATCTGCCCTCTCTTTTCACATCTACCTCCACCCTGTACCGCTGACGGACAACACTTGACTGAACTGGGGTTTGGTTTGGTTTGCTTCCCTTGTTTCAAACATATTTTAAGATAACTTAAAAACTTTTTTTAAAATCTTGTGCTGTAGTATATATAAATGAGTAAAGCAGGACAGACAGACAAACTGGCTGAGGGGAAAAATCAAATGAAGTCACGAGTAAGTTGAATGCACAGAATGTGATGATGAAAGCATACAGCATCTCTGGAGGAGACTACAGTTGTCTTTGAGTTTTGTAGATGAATTAGCAAAATGAGTGAGCTCAAGTGGAATTTAACAATTGGTAAATTGTTGTTTTGTTATATGTTGCTTCTTCACCCTCTGTCTTCTTGGCTTTTCTTTTACATGGTTCAATCTTTATAAACATTTACAAACGCAGACTGCCACTTCTCTTCTCCTTGAAGTGGCTAGGGGGATGAAACCACCACTCGTAGCCCAGCATTAAACCCAGTGGGCCACCTGGCCACCAACAGGGCAAAGCGGTACTCACGGCAGTCAAAGTTATAAATCGTTATGAGAGAGAAAACCTCTTTCTCTGGCAGAGGTGGACTGTTGGGCTTGAACTGGAAACTTTGTCGTTAGCAGCCCAATGCTGAGCCTGCTGTGCCACCAGGTCGCCTTTATATATGTGGGCCAAAATTTAATCAAACATTTTAGGCTTTTAAAAAAATTTGTTTATATATATACATTTTTAAAACAAATTTGTATTATCTTTTTAAAATAAATTTATTGGTGGTTTTTACACCTCTTCTAACAACCCATGCATCAATATTACAAGCACATTTGTACATAGGTTTCTATCATCATTTTCAAAAATTTTCCATCTACTTGAGCCTTTGGTTATCAGCTCCTCTTTTTTCCCTTCTCCCACCCTTCCAGCCTTGTGAACCCCTGATAAATTACAAAGTATTGTTATTTTCATATATTACACCATCTGCTGACTCCCTTCACCCAAAGTCCAAATATAGACAGTGGGACTTCACCTCACAGAAGGATCACAAGGAAGGCATAATCAAGCCAGGGTGCAGTATAGCGCTGAGGAGACACACACCAGTTCTCTGGTTCTTTAATGCTTCCCTCACTCCCATTATCTACCATGACCCCAGTTCCACCTTACAAATCTGGCTAGACCGGAGCAAGTACACTGGTTCAGATAAGAGCTCTGGACACACGGAATCCAGTACAGATAATCTTCCCTCCCTTCCCCCCCCCCCCCCCACACACACACACCAGGAACAGTAGTAATGCGAGTAGCGATGCCATGAGGGTAGAGGAAGGTGGGGGAGAAAGGGGAACCGATGGCGATGATCGATGTGTAACCACCCCCCACCCACCCCCCAGGGGTATAAACAACATTTTTTTAAAACATTTTGCTATGAGTATCAATTAGAGGTGATAGTTTATTGGTGTTTTAATTTGTATTTATCTTATAGCTTGTGATTGAGAGCATTTCTTCACATGACTGTTGACTGACTGCCTGGATGTCATCTCTAGCAAATTATCTATTCGTGTATTGTGGCCCTTTTTTATTACATTATTTGTGTTTTTTTATTGAGGTGTTGTAGTTTTCTATAGGTTTTTGAAATTAGCCCTTTATCGGATATATTATTGTCACTATTTTTTCCAACCTGTAGATTCTCTTTTTACTCTTTTCCTAAAGTCTTTTGATGCACTTAAAATGTCGTATTTTTTAAGTTCCTGTCCTCTATTTTGTCTTCTGTAGTCTGGTGTGTGGGAGTGTTTCCTTTTGTTGCTAATGAATTTATCTCTTAGGGCCCTGAAGTTTGCCCCTATTTTTTCATTGATGATCTTATAGTACTACGGTTTATATTTAGTTCTTTAATCCATCTTGAGTTCATTTTTGTACATGATATGAAGTATAGGTCTTCTTTATTTTGCAGTGGAGTTCCAATTTTCCCAGTACCATTTATTGAAAAGACCAGTCTCCATGCCGCCCCTCCACCCCCACCATATAATGTGTTTAGCCGCTTTTTAAGAAGCGCGCGTCTGTAGGTGCTTGGTTATATTTCTGGGTTGTCTGTTCCAATCCCCTGGTCTACATATCTACTATTGTGCGAATATGGTGCTGTTCTGATTTCCATGGCTGTGTAATAGTTTTAAAATTAGGAAGTGAAAAGCCGCCTACTTTATTTTTGTGTTTTAGCAGTGTTTGGTGTATTTGGAGTTTCTTTTCTTTCCATGTGAAGTTGTGCTTAGCTTATTTTTCATTTTTGCCATATCTCCCCCATCTTAAATGAACCTCCCTTGACCCTGTGTCCGCTCCCACTTTCCATCACTCCATTTCCCTGTCTCCACTCACATCCCAACATGTGGAAAGTGTACATAAATCCACACTTCACTGCCATGAGCCTGGTCCAGTCAGGCTTAATCCCCTGTCTTCAATGAAGCCACTCTTGTCAAGGCATTAATATCTTTAGTAAGAGGGCAAAATTCAGTGGTCACTTTTCAGTTGCTTTTGTTTGCTTTGTTTTTTCGGTGTATCAGCAGCATCTGACACAACCACTCACTTCCTGTGACATACCTTTCTCCTGGAGCCCACAGAACCCCACTCCCTCACTTCTCCAATCCCCCCACTGGCTTCTGTGAGACATTCTTCTTCATTTTAAGCATCCGTGTGCCCGGGCCTCTCTCATCACTCATCTTCTCATCCCAGACCAACCCCTGCTCTCTCAAGCTGCATGGCAGCAGTTTGCCACATCTTTCTCCTCAGAAGGAGCCTGTGGCCCGCAGCAGCAACATGTCTGTGAGCAGCCTAGCGCTTACCCACTGACCACTAGGACTCCTTCCCTGACTCTCTAGAAGACTTTCGAGAACATTTCCAAATTAAGTCACCAATTATATGTCACCTCTGAATTCTAGAGACTCTCTTTCAGTCCCTGGTCTTCTTTCTGCACTCAAATAGTGGTTCTGTTCCGTGCTTTCCCCCAACACTCCTTGTTCCTCTGTCTGCCATGTTAGCTAAGCCAAAGCTTTGGGGTGACTCTACATTCAATCTATCAGCATACTTTGCAGCCTTTACAGTTAATATGTTCCACATCCAGATACACTTCTCCTGTCAGAGCATTTGCTCTTTTTGTTACTCTCACCTCCCGGATGGAGTTTCTTTCTCCAGATATTAGCATAGTTTACTCCTTCCCTTCCTTTTGGCGGTTTTTCAGATGTTCAAAGGACATTTTCAGGGAATGAGAGGAGCCTTCTCTAATGATCATGACCACATATAAAGTAATACCCCCTCCCATCAGTTTCCCTTACCTCAGCTTCTGTTGTGTTACTTCATAGAGATTGTGCACCCTCAAGAGGCTCCCACACTTAGACAGACACATGGCCAGGGCATATGTGGATGTACTTAGTGATGATGTCTGCTTTCTCCTCGGAACATAAACTCTGTGGAAGTGACTTCAGTGTTTTCCGTGCCCAAAGCCTACTACAGTGTCCCCACATAGTAGGCACGCTGAGCATATCTCTTTGCAGTAGAATTGTATGCTATTCTTCTAATTCTCCCCTTTCATAAAAACATCTGGGTAAATATTTTGGGAAAGTAAGCGGGAAATTCTGACAGGAAAAGCAGGAGCCGCCGTGGCACAGGGAAAGAGCCTCGGCTGCGGACCGGAAGGTGGACTCTTGGGAGACAGACAGCCTGCCCTTGCTCCTGGGAGCTTCACCTAGGACGCCCCCTGGGTGGGCAGTTCTCCTTGTCCTCTAGGGTCACCATGACTAGTCATCGCCTCGACGGCACACAGGGACACACGACAACAGTGCCAGAGGACACGCATCGTAGTTGAAAAATATGTGACTTTCGCTCTGCAAAAAGAATTCACGTACTACATTCCAAGAACTATTACCAAATATATGACTTTTATCATTTTAATAGGTTTTTCATGATTGCTTGATTGAAATTGTAAATTAACAGCTTTTCTTGGTATGGATTAGATAAAGCAACTGTTAATTTTCCATTTTATTATCTTTCCTAGTTTTATTGTAAAAAGAGTCTTAGTGAGGAAAGTATTGTATATTTGAAAATCCCTTGCCTGTGTAGGACTTTCTTCTTCTACTAATTAACTGATATTCTTAGAGTAACATGTATGTCTAATTCATCATAGCTAAGAGAAGCATTTGGATGTGTAAACATGTAAGTGCATGTAGTTTATCTCATAATCTAGTGAATGGTAATTTCATTTTATGATGTACTGTATGTTTGATGTGTACTCGTCCGCTATGAGATGTGCTTGATTTACATCCTTTCTCTCTGGTGTATAATCAAATTCCTATTATTTTCCATTTATTATCTTTTCACCTTTGTTTGTTCCCCTCTGTGTCAGAATTTTTAAGGGGGCCTGAGATAGCTCTGCTCCGTAGGCGCCTGCAACAACTGAGGCTTAAGAAGGCTGAGCAGCAGAGGCAGCAAGAGCTCGCTGCGTGTGCCCAGCAGCCTTCCGCTCCTGAGCAGTATTCCTGTGGGGGCTCTTCCCAGGACCCTCAGGCTTCAGGTGGTTACTGCCAAGCATCCTTAAGCAGCTGATAGATGTGGTTTTTATCTAACATTGCTGCTCTTTAATAAGATGCTTCCCTTTCCCTCTAAAATGAGAGCTAACGCACTGGCTGCTTGTCCCCCTGTGCCACGCCTGTGGTGATGGGATTCATCATCACATGGCTAGAAGGACAGATTGCCACTGCATCTGCCAGAGAGCTGACTGGGCAACAGTGCCTTACTCCACTTGTTTATCTGGAGAGGGAGAAGAACTCATTACTTTTACTGATGACGGGATACTTTCCGATTATTGTGTAGTGACTTTAGAGCCTTGCATTGATATTCCTATGGAAATTTCCTGTGTGCTGAAATGATAACTATGCTTATGGCTCCTAGTTCCTCCTCTTTTTTTTTCTGATATTTTGCTTTGAAAATTAACTAGTATTCTTATATAAACCTAGTAATGCTAGGTTTGGGGTTTTCAGTGTTTGGGTTATCTGCTAACATGCTGACTCAGTCATCTCCTTGGTTATGTATCATTTTGCAGTATTTACTTGATTCCTCCTGTACATGATCCACTTTTCGATACATAGGGCAGCAGAAGTACTCTGCTGTCTCTTGTTACTCTTGTTCTATAAAATGCTGATAGGACAGGAATAATCTGTGTCACCCTTTCCTATTGAGTTATAAATGGCCTAGTTATTTTATGAACTGAAAACTCACAATGGTCAATCAATATGTTGAAGGAATTGAGAAATATAGCACCAAATAACGTCAGCTTAATTCTTTCAAGAAGAAAGTAAATATATATTCTATTTAATAAGTAAAATGTGTCTAGCTGCTCATACTAGTGAATTTATAATAATTTAATTGATATACTTTGTTTTACCAACTCTAAGGATAATACATTTGGATATTAATTACTTTGAGAACTCTGATTAAAAATACTTGGAATTAATATCTGTATTAGTAGAACTGGATAACCTACAGTATCTAAATAATCTGTTCCCCAAAGCACTATGGTAACAAAGTACATTATATAGTACAATGATGAAAGAGCGGGGAAATATGAGGCTTTCTGCTCCTGTAAAGTGTTACAGTGTCAGAAACCCACAGGGCAGTTGTAATATGCCCTATAGCAGGGGTGTCAAACTGGCGGCCCACAGGCCACATGCGATCCCCAAAGTAATTTTTTTGTGGCTCACTATGCTCTGAAATAAAATGAAAATAGAAAAAAATTGTTATGAAGAAAATAGCGCTGTGGGGAGGTCGAGTCAATACCATACACACAATTCCCTCATTACATTTTATTTCAGGACACTGTAGGCCACAAAAAATTACCTCGGGGGCCGCATGCAGCCTGCAGGCTGCCAGTTTGACACCCCTGCCTTGTAGGATCGCCATGAGTCAGAATTGACTCTGTGGCAGTGAGTTTTTGTGGTGAAATAAAACAGACTTGAACTCTTATAGTATGCATATGATGTTTGGAGCAAATCATCAACTTGATTTCTAATGCACTATTTATTAATACAAGGAATATCAGTCATGTAAAAATATTTTGCTTTCTTTTTCAATACACAGAAATCTCATACTTAAAACTAACAAAAAAGCTTGATTATATTATAATGTGCCATTTATTAGTACAACATTTTAGTACAAGTTTGGCCAAAGTACTTTAGAAGTTCAAAAATATTCATGAGACAACAGAAACTATAACAAAAGGAAGATGAAATACCGCTTTATTTATTTCAACTGAAACTTAGCAGGGGACAAACTAAGTATGAAAGTGAATTTTCAGTATAAAAGGAAACTGTCCACAGTAATGGGAAAGCAATAAGCACTATGGACAGTAGCAGGGAGACCTGAGGCTGACAATCTTTCATGGATGAGACCTGGCGGCAGCCTGGGGTCCACGTTGGACCCAGAAAAGTCGGCTGCTCTCTGGCAGAAAGACCTGAGGGTGTGCCTGTAACACAGCTAGCTCTGCTGTGTCCCACATGGTCTCTGTGAGTTCGATCCTACCTGATGTCACACACAACAGCAACCTTTCACATCTAGTCTAGGCATTTAAATTGAGGCACGTTTGTTAAACTTTATTTTATTTTAATCAGAAAGCCTTGGGGGTAGTTTTAGGGTCTCTGAAGTTAGATACAAAACCAACTCTGGTTTTGTAACGAAGTACTAGTCTGTTGTGGTAATCTGTAAAAAGGTAAAGTTAAGTAGCCACCTTGCCAATTTAGAAGTTGGGAACCATGTTACCTTCATTGTTAAAAACTGTGTGCTCGGGCTCCTGGTGCTGCCTGCTCCTTGAACTGACAGGAGAGGCCATTAGTGCTGTGATGCTAGGCCTACTGTTCTCTTCTTCTGTGAGGTGAAGTCCTTCATTTGTAGTTTATGCTTTGAGCAGAACTTTCTATGAGGCCCTAGTAAATCTAATGCTTTGGGTTCACTTGAGTAGTGCTAACTTTATTCTAAGGAGCTCTGATACTGCTGTCAGGTAAGCAGTAGAATGCTAACCCCACGGTTGGTAGTTCAAACCCACCAGCTGCTCCATGGGAGAAAGAGGTGGCTCTCTACTCAAGAAAAGATTTACCGCTTCAGAAACCCTCTATGGGGTCACTATGAGTTGGATTCGGCTCAGTAACAGTGGGTTTCGGGAGGGTTTGGGAAGTTTTGGCTTTGGTTTTTAAAACTATTTTCTTATTCTGTCTTCACTTGTCATAGAAACGTTTATTTAGCATTTAAAGGCTTTAAAAACAGCTAAGTTGATGTGGTGTTGTTTGTTACAAAGGACAGCTAATCATTTGTTCTTTTAGGAAATTTTGGATATGAAGAAAAAGGAGTTGGCTCACTGTAAAATGCTTCATTTCAAAACACATAAATCACAGAAATGCAGAATAGTAATTAAATTTATGAAATTCAATAGTGTCACAGGTTTATTTGAATTATAATTAATAAATTTTATTTTGTACTTAGTTTGCTGTACTCGTTCCTGTTGGATCTTATTACTAAAGCTGCCCATCAGTTTAGAAAGCACCAAAATTAGCATTATAATTTATTAACAATAGAAGAATGCGTGGTTCTCATAAAGAAAAAGCACATTTATTCTATTGTATCTTGATAGCTATAGATCATCAATAAGAGAAAATAATACCAGTAAGTGATATTTCCATTGTTTTCTCACCTACCTAAGTCTGTTGATATAAGATGTTCAAAGGAGACATACTGTGCTTTGAAAATCAAGAAATTTTTGCAAAAGTAGAAAGAATTGATGACTCTTTATAATGTCTGGCAAGAATTTTGCTCTTTTCAAAAGGTTGGACTCATGAGACTCATTAATGAAAGCCTAGTTTAAGTTGAACCTAGAATACCTAATTTCTATAGGAAAGAAAGTTCAAGCCATTATAGAAATGATCGTGTATGTTCATTTTTAGGGGCATAAAAAGGGAGGGTTCTGGTGCCAGTTCCTTTTAATTTCAGTCTGTTGGGTTTCTAATTATTCTTAGCAGTTGAAAACTAACAGCTATTTTAGATAGCATATAGTATCACCTTCAGTTTCAAATGATTTAGAACAAAGGCCAGAGGTAGATCTTAAAACAGTAAACTCTTCTATCAGAATCTCACATGGAGATTCTGAACATAAACTGTTTAGTAGTGACTTGTCCTCTAAACACTGATCTAAGGATAAAAGCAAAGACGAAGTGAAGCCTCACTCCCCAGGGAACCTCTGCTCCCCCCAAGCACAGACTGAAAACTAATGCTCTAACAAAAACTTGATAACCTCTCAGAGCTAGCGTCCCCGAATTTTTCTTTTCACAATCAATACACTACTTTAAAATGTGCTTTACTTTACTTAGGTTTTTTTTAATTGGGTTCTCTCTCGCCACCTCCTCCCTGCCGCGAACTTTCCAAAGAATCAAAATTTTACACAATTCATTTCTAGTTTTTCAGTGATTTTTTTTTTAAACAAGTAATTTACCTTTGTGAGAATACTATGTGGAGAACTAGACTGAGTTCCAAGCCCTGGCTCTCTGACCTTGGGACTGTCCTTTGGCTGCTTTATGCCATAGTTTCTCAATTATTGACTCATTTATACAGGGTATCCTATCATACTTTTTAAGGAGACTAGTTCACATATCAATGTACTATTTATATTATAATACCTTTCATTTGCTACCCCAAATTGTTCCTCATGTTAAGGCCATATAAAATGGATAGTATCGGGATTTTTAGCAAGCTATATGGACATTTCCCAGATCACTATCCCAAACAGCTGGGGCAGTGGCATTCAGCACATGCTGATTTTAAGCCCAACTCTTTTCTTCCATTTCAGGTCCCCTGAAGTCATGGGTTGTTGGCTCCTGCTTAGAGTGACAGCACCCTGTGGAGTCTGCTGGTACTGGCCTGACCACCACAGAGCCCCACTGGAGCATGGAGCCAGTCTAGAGAGGGTCAGGTAGGAACTGTTTTTTCACTTTATGGCACGGTTTTGCCAATTGGAAAAAAAAAAAAAAAGTAATTATTATTTTACCCCAAAGGGTATAAAACAGTGATTATTCTGAAAAAGGGCTTTCCAAAACTGAGCCATATTGGAGAAAATCAGCACTTACCCGATCCTGTGCCAGCAGGTTCTACACAGCATCAGATTCCCACAGTGTCCATGAAGACACCTGGGCTTCCCTCAAACACACAGATGCCTTTGATGCTGTTCTTAGTTGTTGCAGCATAACCAAAATCTCAAACTCAGACTCCATGCTGCCATCAAGTCAGTTCTGACTCATAGCAACCCTATGGGGCGGGGTAGAGCCACCGCGGGGTTTACAAGATTAGGAAGTCTCTTCTTTTTCTCTCAAATCTGCTGGTAGTTTCGAACTGCTGACCTAGAGATTAGCAACCCAAAGCATAACCAGTATGCCTCCATCAGAATGCTGTGGACCTAGCTCTGCAGTCACTCCTTGATCACCTTGAATGACTGATCAGAGTCGTAGGCAAAATTATGACAAATCTCTTAGAATTTTAAACATGAAAATACACTTTATATTTTCCAGAATACCTTCCCATTGTTATTTTTTCACTCAATACTATATAGCTGAAAAACAGGCAAATAATAATAATAATAACTAAATATCAGTTGACCCTTTCCCATGTGCTAAGTTGTTTAAATGCTTATTAAATCTTCACACAAAATATTCTCTCCATTTTACAGGAAGAGGAACTGAGACTTAGAGAAGTTAAGTAACTTACCCAGGGTGACAGTCTATCTGAGTAGAAGAGCCAGATCCTCTAAATTTTTTCCCACAGTTGAGAAAAATCTAGTGCCAAAGGGTGAAAAATTTTAATATATTGCAATAGATGCCCATGAGCAATACTGAATGGTGTGTGTTCTTAAAGTTTCTGTCTATCCTAAGAATAGTGTTATAACTCCAAATATTTCTAATAAACTGATTGACTATAGTAAGTTATCACTGCCCCATACATTTATTTTTTTACTTCTGATTGTACTTGTCGAAGATAAAGATTTCACAGAGAGATCAACAGAGTATATAAATGGCTCCAACAATCAGGATTGAACTAGTGACTGTAGTTGAATACTTCCTAGCCTGAAGGTTATTGAACTAATATTTGGGAATATTTCTGTAAGAGAAGAGTTGTGAGTATTATGAATATCTAGTGCTAAACACAGACACACAAACATATCACTAAAAGTGTTTATGTGACAGGAAAACCAATGTAGAAACAATTACATGGCACTCAAGATTAAAAATACATGGAAGTAATGATCAAAAAAAGGATTGTGTCAGTAAACATTATTAGTATTCGAGAAAGGAGAAACAGCAAATAATCCCTGAGATAAACATAATAGTCTTAACAGATTGTTTTGTCCAAACTGTTTTGGTGAATGCTGTCTTTTTGTGTTAACATCAGCTTTCAGGAATGTGTGTAGCCTTCAAAAATGTAAAATTACATAATTTTGTGGAGATGACAGCTCTGTAGGCCTGTTTTCAGTCTATTTTTAATAATGACTTACTCATTCCTAAGTTTCATAAAAACAAATAAGATTTAGTTTATTTCTCTAAGATTTCTATGTTTATAATATTTATGGAAATTTTATATAATTGGGAAGGGCAGGGGAAGACCAGTTAGAGGGTTTGTAGTTTTTTGAAAACTCTTAATTGTTAAATGATTGCAGAGTGAAATATATAATGAATTCAATGGACTCAAAAGGGACTTCGTAGGAGGATTTTATAATATCTCACTTTGAGTAATATTTCTGTTTTGTTTTCCTTTTGTTAGAAAGAATAGAATTTTATCTCTAAAAACCACCCTATCTCTTTTTCAATAACAATATAGATGAGAATGCTGTAGCAAGCACAAATGAATAAATGGAAAGATTAGGAAATTGAAATATTATCATCCCCACATTTTTCTTTTGATAGTAGAGAATTATTGAACTGAACGTTTGAATGTTAAGATAAGTAAAAGTTATTACTTAAGTGTGACCAAGTTTTATAAAAATGTAGGAATGAAAATCTGTGAACAAACTGGTAAAATTATAATATAGTAAATTTAAGATTAGCAAAAGTAGCCCTGTAGCAGAATTTAAACTTTTAAATGTATAGATGTACAAATGGAAGTTGCTGAGTGATAGACAGTTTGTGTGAATCTAGGATTTATTGGGAAAAGTGTACTCTTTGGTAAATGAAGTTCCATTATGATCAGAAACTGATTATCAGCCAAAAGTGCAAGATTGGGGTTTTTGTTTTGTTTTGCTTCAACAATTTTACTTTCTTAGCAGTATTTACTAAGATCTGGGTCACAGGATATTAGAAATTTTGGAATAATTCTTACATTTGGAAAACGATGTTTATTCCCCACATCTTCCCCTTTCCTGTAGCCCCCTGGGGCTTTGGGACCCAAGCCAGAAGTGAGAAGCGGTCACTTCCTTTTCCCTAGTCCCTTGCCTATGTGTCCACATTTCTAAGCTAATCAGACAAAAAGGAGAAGAATTAGCCGAACGCTGGTGATGTGGCCTGTGTGACATAGCTAATCATTGTCGGGTGTCGGTCTGGAATCGAAGCGTTGTAACTCCAGACAGTGCTCTTGCCACTTAGTCACGCCAGCCGCTTTCCTCTGCACCAATGGTTTTCACGCAGGAGAACCCATTTATGAAACACATCTTTACAAAGAATCAGCGTATCACCAGGATAGCAACAGACTATTCTTTTTAAAGCCAAGTTGGAAAGCTTAAACCCCTGACCATTAAGCTTTCTTTGCTTCTCTTGCTTTTCCTACCAAATCCCAGTCAAGAAACATCTGCCACCACAAAGCGCAGTTCTTGTATGCACAATATGCATAGCGATTTCCAAGCTATCTATATTTCTGTGATGGTAATTACTTCATTGAATATTTCACTTATAAACCGCATTTTCCCTCTAATACATTTTACCTTGAGCCCCTTGTTCAGCTCACGTGCTACAAACAACACCCAACAAAGTGCAGTGAGCGTCTCATTTCTTGTCTAGAATCCACCCAGGCAGGATGAAACCCACGTGACGGGCAGGAGTCTTCTGTTTCGTGAACTAGACGTTCCCATTTTTAATTATCCAGCTTGCACCTATTGCCTTGCTAAATGAACTTGAAAAGGGTTCTGTGCATGGTACTAGACGTGATTTTCCCACTCATCTTCAAATGGCTGAAAGCCTGCTTGAAGTAACCAACCTGCTGCACCCGGCCCTGCTTACTCCCTGCTTGAGAGCACCCCGCCGTACTGACCTCTGTTTCCCACCGTTGATGCATTTGTTCCTTAAGCTTAGAGTTGAGCATGACATGACATTGCTGTGCAGTTTTCTGCTGCTTACTTTTAAGTTGAAATCTCATTTTTGTTTCAGATTCTCCTTCTTCTGTGGTTAACAAACAGCTCGGATCCATGTCACTTGATGAGCAACAGGGTGCGTGCAACAGGAGATGCGCTATGCCCATCCAGCCATAGATTTATTGCAACGCATAAGCCAAGCTCTCTCTTGCATTTCATAGCATTTCATTTAGCTAAAGGTCGAATAGCCGGCATTCTGTGGGCTAAATTACTCTACATAGATAGTATTATATATAACGAACCTCCTTGGTCAATACAAATTATCATATATATTGCCTTAGCTCATTTACATCTTTTGTCCCTATGCCAAATTTGAAGTCTCTCCTTATAATAGAATTATAATGGCTATAAATTATCTCCATTTTTTTAATGGACCCATCATAAAATTATATAGAACTGTGGGTATGAGGTTAGCATTACCCAGGGGCTTACTTTGAAAAGCTGATTTGAGTGCAAAATTTATAATTTACTATAGCGACGATACATTATTTTGCCTCACTATCCAGTGGTCAAATCCTCACAAGTTTTAACTGTAAGAAACACAGTTGTAGGCCCGAAGATGAGCTCCAAAGCCACCTTCCGCTTGTATTTGTTAAAGGAACAAAAATAACTTTGAGCAGAGACTGATGAGATAGTTCACTTAGTTACCAAGCGTTGCTGTCAGGAAGTTTCACACAGTACGTGGAAGGACCGGTGGAGGAAAGTCATCTGGCAGGAAGGGCAGCTGAAAAGAAGGGTGGGGGTAAGAATCCAACTGCGAGCACACCAACAGACTAGCTCTTTGGAATCAGAGCGGTTTAGTAAGGGCGGTGAGCCGTACTATCTCACCTCCACATTTGCACTGTGTCGTCACTGGGGACTTTACCTACTTTAAAAAGCCAAACGAGTGCCGGAAATATTTTACAAGTATTTCTTCTGGGAAAACTCCACAGCATTAAAACCTTGGTTCAGTTGTCTGAAAAGTTTACATATTTAGAGAGTCATTTTGAGAAGTTGCATATTGGCTTTAGTACTTATTGTGGAAGCCCTGGTGGCATAGTGGTTATGCCCCGGACTGCGAGTGGTAGCTGCAAGGTCAGCGGTTCAAACACTAGCCCCTCTGCGGGAGAAAGATAGGGTTTTCTACTCCCATAAAGAGTTACAGTCCCAGAAATCCACAGGGGCTGTTACCCTGCCCTACAGGGTGACTATGATTGGAATCAGTGCGATGGCACTGAGTTTGGTTTTGGGTACCTATGTATTGTAAGATAAGCCTGGTTTTTATGATCTTCCTTAAAAATATTCAGCAGCTAACTTTAAGCCAAATTAGAAAATTTCTATATGGAGAAGCTTATTCTTCATAAATCTAAGATGACAAGTACTACTTTAGCTTTCAAGAATGGGTAAATGTGTATATGAATTTGAAATCAAGAAAGTAAGCATATTTTATCTTAACACATTCATGATAATGTATTAGCACTGATGAACAACTAAGCTAAAACTGTTAAAACATGTTGCACTAACATATATAATTTCTCTGATCAAATCTTTTTTATATAAAGATATGTAAATCACTGTCGAGGTAGTTTGTACATAGATTCATAGCCTATTTAATCACATGGGATAAATTCCATACAATTAATGTTAAATAGTAAATCAAATTGGTATTAATTTATACATAGAGAAAGAGTCAAAAAGTGTCCAGGTTTTGCCATCATTTATTAGAGTCAATTAATTTAGCGATATTTGGCCACATAAAATATATGTACCTTTAGTCAACAGAAGTAGAGAAGTGTAATTGGTCACAAGTTGAGTTTGTTTTATAGAAGTTACATCTTAAGAGGTCATCGCAAATGTACCTTGGTAATAAATCTGAGCAGAAATGCTTCCATGATAGAAATACATGCAGACAAAGTAATCTTGAGTGTTCCTCTGGGAAAAGACCTGTCAATTTGCTCCTATAAAAATTTAGGAGCCTGGGCAGCTGTAGTAGAGGGTCAGCAAAAGAGAGGAGGATCCTCAACGAGATGGATTGACAGTGGCTGCAACAGTGGGCTCAAGCATAGAAACAATTGTCAGCCTGGCACGGGACCAGGTGGTGTCTCCTTTTGTGGGCATAGGGTCACTGTGGGTCAGGAACAACTCGACGGCACCTAGCAATATAACAACAGGCAGCTCTAGGGGTCATTTCTGCTGACTGGTGGGACATGACTGAGAGAATGATATCCAGGTATCTGACACCACTGATAGTGAGGCCATCAACCAAGAGAGATTTCAGGAAGAACGATTAGCTCTAGGGGACAGGAGGTATGTGCTATTTTTAGAAGTGCTGAATTATGAAGTGCTTTTGGATAGTCAAGTGGAGAACTCAGATATCTAAATGTATGTATGATTCTGGAAGCCTCCACAGAGGTCGGAGGTGGAAATAAAGGTCAGAAGCCATCCCCTTGCAGGGTAGGGTCCTGAGGCCTGTGAGAGTCAGAACTCATTGGGGTGCTTGCGTTTTCTGGGTCTCTCAACTCTTCTGTGTTTGAGAGGATCCAGTCATCACTTTCCTCTCACTGTTACTGGTCAGTACTTGTGGTCCTTTTCTGAGAGGGTTTCATCGTATACCGGTTCCTTATAAGACACCATCGTTGAAATCTTGGGATTGGATGGACTTACCTACAGAGTGAAAGGATAAAGTGAAAAGAGCCAGCAAACACTGCAAGGAACAGACTGAACAAAGGAGCCAGTTACGGGGACGCAGAGAGAGTGATTCCAGGAAGTAGATGGAGCAGCATGTCCAGCCCAAAGGCAGAGGGAAAACAAAGTTGTAGGGGGGCTGCTGGTCAGCAGTGCCAAGTGGAGCAAAGATATTCCAAGTACACTCAAGGAATTGAAAAGGCCTATGGAATTCAGGAGTGTGTGGATTTTCTTGGAGCCCTTGTGGAATAATCTGTTTTGCATTGGGCTGCTTACTACAAGGTCAGCAGTTCAAAACCGTTGGCCACTGTGCTGGGGAAAGAAGATGCTGTTTGCTCCTATAAAAATTTGCCGCCTCAGAAACCCACAAGGGCAAATCTGCCTTGTCCTGTAGTGCCAATGTGAGTTAGAATTGATGGCAGGGAGCATTTTTTGTGGATTTCCTGTTGCCTTTGACGTTTTGTTTTGGATGATATAGTAGAGACAGATCCAGGTGATAATACTGTGAGGACGAAGATTTATTTTTTTTAAATGAAGATGTTGGCATATAGATGACCCTTTGAGGTAGTGTTTATTAGGGGAAATTGATGTTTCAAGGGAAAGTCTTAAAAGAATGGCAGAAAACTAGATGTGTCTGTAGAATTCGCAGACAGGATCTTTGTAGAAGAGGTTAAAGAGAAAAAAATCCATTGATAGCCCTAGATATGCTGCTATTTTAAGTTTTTAACCTTGGTATCAAAACTCCTGTTCTCAATTTTACTTTGAAGGATGGAAAAAGCAGTGATATATATATAACAAGTAAGTTTTCATTCTGAATTTATCTCTCAATACTTGTTTTACATCCCGTTTAAAACACTGCAGTATTAAGCAAATTTAAAATTGTATGGGAAAACATTGAAGATCCTTCTCTGTTAATGATAGACAGCTTGAAGTACGTAATTTAGATACATGTAGTGGTATCTCTCAGGTATTTTGTTTGGTTTGAATAATGCATTTTAATTAGTAGTTTTGATTTTTTTATATCTCCAATTATGCTATGGCTATTGTATTATAAAGGAAAAATCTTCTTTGGGTACATGTTTGCCTTGTCTATATAGGATGGGGGTACCCCAAAACCAGAATCTCACTGGGCGGAAAGGACTCTTTCTAGTTACACATTTTTCTTCTTAGGTGAGCACGGAGCAACTCCTGAGTTAGTGTCGCCTCAGAAGGTTCTCTCTGGTCACAGTGAATTTTTTGGTAAAAGTAGTTTCACTTTTTGTATTGGCCAATTTCAGAGAACAGCATGCAGCTGTGATAGTTTGTTTCCTGCTCAGGAAAAATGTCGGCAAAAACTGTTGTGATGCTGAACACAGCTTACAAGGATAGGGCTGTAGGAAAACTCAAGTGTATGAGTGGTGTTCTCATTTCAAAAAAGGTGAAATGTCAATTAATGACAAACCTCCTTCTGGAAGTCCATCAACTTCCCAAACGGACAAAAATGTCAACTCTAGTGCATTTGGAGTTTGTTCCACCAGGTCAGGCTGTTGGAGGTGCCGAAAAGAGTGTGTAACAGTATGCGACACAAAAGGCCTGGTTTGTGGCAGACGGGACTGGTTTTGCCACCGTGACGGTATACCTGCGCATGCAGCCATTGCAGTGTGCCAATTTTTGGCAAGGAACATCATGCCTCTCTTGCTCCACACACCTGACTCACCTGATCTTGCGCCATGTGACTTCATTCTGTTTCCACGAATGAAGAGGGACATGCAAGGACTGCGATTTGACAATGTAGAAGAGGTGGAGACAGAAATAAGGGAGGTATTGTCAGCCATCCAAGCAGATGAGTTTGAAAATGTTTTCAAGAATGGAAATGTCAAAGACAGATTTGACAAATGTATTAAGTGTAAGGGAGAATACCTTGAAGGTGATAAGGTTGTTTTGTTAAAAAAAAAATGTAAATAGCTTTGGGGTGGAAATTATGGTGTTTTTTTAGGGTACCCCTCATATATTATTGAAACGTAGCAGTTTTCCTTTGAAAGAAATTAAGGACAACAGTTTCCCCCTTACATTAAGTAACAATAAGCAGCAACTAAAGAGAAGTCTGTGTTATGGAAAGGTAATATTTTAGTGGATGTAAGAATACATAGAGACTGTGGCACTTCGGCGGTTCTCCTAGTAACAGCTCTTGACCTAATGATGGCTATGAGGTAGGAGAACTGTGAAGACCTCCAGGGAGTAATTAGAACCGGACTTGATGGCAGATTGAATGAGGAGCTGACCAGCATAGAAGGTTTTGTAACAAGCCCAGCTTTTCTGTCTGGAGATGGTTTGATGGCAACTACCAGTTAGAGGAGGCAAGCCCCTCCAACTTTACTCTGTTTTCGTGCCGTAAATACACATTTTTAACTGTCTGATAGGCTTATTGTGGTGATACAGAGGGAGGGACTGATAGGAGCCAAGACATTTCAGGCTACTGAAATGTTAACCCAGGGTCTATTCCCAAGGTTTCGTAGGAGCACAACTGAGTGAGCAGTTCCTGAATAGATAGATAACCCTGGGGAAAGGAAGTAAGCTCTGGGGTTGCCTACATGAGTACTCCTGAGAAGTAAGATGGGTTAAAAATCTTCACTACGTTAATCGGTGTGGAGGTGACTCAGTGGTAGATGCCCAATTGGTGTGGAACATGGAGAAACAGGTGGGGAGTAAGGAAAACATTTTCCAAACAGCCAAGGGCATGGTCATTTTTTAAGCCATCTACCTCATTAGTGTTTTCATTTTCAAGTCTCATTTTAACACATTTATCTACTAATGTTTGTGACAGCTTTGAGTGGAGGGAACAAGAGTCCATCTGAGCAAGCCGTGGTGGAAAGAAAAGTAGTGGAAGATCTGCGCAGGGTTTAAATGCCACATGGGCATTGGCTATCTCTTACTGTGCTGCCTTTCTCACGCCTGAAAGTGAATGCAGAATAGACTTATGCACAGAGGGATATGAGACTAAGAGTTCTGAAGGATTCAGGAAAAGGAGGGACTGGGTAGCAAAGGTCAAATGACTACTCCATTTCAACCTCTGGAGTCTATAAGTGTCCGTGGGAATGGGGAACCAGAAGTAGTCTGAGTTCAGAAGCTTCCGAACCCCATGTTCCAATTCTTTCACGTCTTTTTTTTCTTTTATTATTAATTGAGAGTTAATACATATATCATCCCATTGTTCAATCACATCAAGCAGAATGATGCAATTGCTATCACAATCCATTTCCAAACATTCTATTTCTTCCTGGACTCCTCGACATTGTGTCCCTTTTATGCCCCTCCCCACCACAGTGCATACACCCCCCAAAAAACTTACTCTCCTTGCTGTCCACGTAGGTTCAGCTGGACTCCTCGACATTGTCTCCCTTTTATGCCCCTCCCCACCACAGTGCATACACCCCCCAAAAAACTTACTCTCCTTGCTGTCCCTGTAGGTTCATCAGTCCTGGGTTTCATATACCAAAACAGGAAAACATGCATACTTTTCTGTTATATCATGAGGAAATTCTTGGACTAAAATTAAAATTTTTGATTGTCATGAGGCAAACTTAAGAAACTAGGTTATTTCATTTCTGAAGGATTAGGAGATTTTCTAATAACCATCAGTACACAGTGTATATTTTGTTTGCTTTTGGTTTTCATAAGACAGCTAATTACCATCCTTCGGAAGCCACATCTGCATTAATGAGAGCCCTCATTTTAGAATGAAATAGTTTAACTCACACTCGTCTATGTGGTGAGAGATGTTTTCTGTTCAGTTTGTGCCTCAAAACAGTGTGTCCACTTTGAGTCAGAATATGACTCCATATACAAACCACTGTCAAGAGAACTAGAGATCGTACAGTTAGGGGTCTGTGGAAATGTTCGGACCTATAAGAATGAAAAACAATGCATTGGCTTAGGAACTAGAGAAATTGGTCTTCTATGCATGCCAAATAAGTTGGGACCCATAATTAAGGGAGAAAATTGGTCTTTACAATTGATATGTTTAAATTTTTAGAGGATAGGTTCTTTTAGATTAGATTTTTTAAAGTTTTTGGCAAAGTGTAATATAAAAAAAAATCCCATATGAAAAAAATCTTTATTTCCCACATGTTCCCTAGGTGATCTAAGCTACTATAGGTGATGACTGTCTAATTGTACAGTTATAATAGTGAGCCGGCAGTAAATGCTGGATATGGTGGTTATAAACAGGCAAATTATTGCTGCCATATTCTACTTGATTATCTTCACTTTGATTGCTCATCAGTATTGTTCTGATGTACAAAACTAGTTACCAGGGTAACACATTTGTACTACTGATATTCACTTAATTTTTCTGGCTTGGACTTGAGTATGTTTTTGTTGTTGGTAGGTGGTAGTGGTGTTTTTTGTTTTGTTTTACACAAATGTTTAATTTCATAATGAATGTATACAGATTAAATTGTTTGAAAATATCCCCATTACAAAAAAAGTTTGTGGTTTTTATGTGAAAGGCTTAGAGATTATTTAAGTCGATTAACAGTTCAGAGAAGTTGCACTCAAATTTATATTTCAGTGCATTCTCAACTTATTTTCTGAGCCAATCCAACAGCCAAATAGGGTTCTTCAGCCATTTCTGAAAAGGATCGTTGAGACTTGATTTCCAGAGTCTCGTGTTGACAATTTGCTTGTAATCCAGGAAAATCAAGCCTCTAACGTGCCAGTGTTGTGATGTGTCTGTGGTTCTTGCCGCTCCGAGCTGCCCCCATCATCAGTTTTTGTTTTGTTTTTTAGTAAAACTGCTCCACAGCATACAGCAATTCACCAGCTGGACTGCTTTTTGTCTTCGAAGTCTTGTTAATTGTCCTTTTACAGGGTAAAAGCCAAAGTAAAATTTCTACGGAATCTGTTAATCAGTATCCTAATGACTTTCAGATGAAAAGACATTAAGTCCTTCATTGCTATATAAGGGGAACAACTACAAAGCCCAAGGAATATGGTCTTTTTTCTCCCCCCATTGTTATCAGGAGAGAAGATATGCTTACATCAGTTCTTGAATATAATCTAGGAAGTGATTACATCAAAGAAGAATTTTCATTCTGCAAGTAACCTCACAGAAATGGTTCTTACTTGATTACATAGCCACTTGTATTCTTTATGTTTTCATGTTTCAAGCTATTATGTATGATAATGTTCAGAATCTTGTCTTGAACATCCACTTATTCTCTTTTTTGGAAGTGGGGGGAATGGATGTTCAAGTGGTCCATATCAATTTTTAATAGAATTTTCTTTACCATCTTAACAAAGATTTATTTATTGGAACATAAATATATCATGGACATCCACTATAAAAACTGCCCTTCTGATAATTATGCAAACAAATTATCTTCCAGATTATTTAAGAAGAAAAGCTGAACTATGCTAATAGATGATCTTAAACTAGTTTTTTTATTTTTAAGCTGAGGCACAGTAAGCCCCCCGTTCTGTAGAATGTAGGTTATAATCCCTGCTTAAAATAAAAGTCTAGGAATTTAGAAGAACACAAGTTAGCACTTGATTACAGGAAAGCTTTTACTGAGCAACTTTTTAAAACCTGTTTCTTGAAGGAGTTAGTGTTAGTTATTCTTGATCCTATAGCAACTGAAGATTAAAAGCATAAGCATTCTATATAAGGTACCAGTTTATGACAAATGTCATTGCATTTTAATATCCTTTGATTCTCAAATGTGAGTGATTCTCATCTGAATCACAGGGAGTCATGTACACAAAGACAGATTTGATGCAAAGACACTTTGAAATATAGAGAATGTCTCTCGAACACTTGTCTTCATGCTTTAAGCAAGAGCCACAACAGATGTGATAAAGAATAATGACAAGAACAAACTTAATTGACATTTTAGAAATTTTAGGAAATGTTATTTTTCTTTTTACTGGTTTCAGAGACTTTTTCAAATGTTTTAAACACAATTTTCAGATAACAGTAATGAAAAGCAGAGCCCCAAACCAGGCACAGGTGAACCAGTTTTAAGTTTGCACTACAGCACAGAAGGAACAACGACAAGCACAATAAAACTGAACTTTACAGATGAATGGTAAGTTAATATTTTTATAAAGATGTTCTCTAGCCATTCTGTAGGATTGTAGTAGATGCTCATATTTAGCTCTTCTTCGTCTTTATGTTTCGCTTTTCACTGGAGTGCATTGGGCAGCATACTTTAGTGTGTTTCACAATCACTTGGCGAGTTCGGTAAAATACAACTGAGCCCTACTCTGAAATTTTCATTCAGTGGTTTGGGGTGGGGTCTGATCGTTTGCATGTATCAAGCCCGCAGTTGATGCTCTTGTTGCTGATCCTGATATATTCCTCTTAATGGAAATGTGAACAGTCAGGGTAAATAACCACATGTAATGCACTGGATTAGTGCAGAAATAACCAGCCTCGCACTTCGGAGCTTTCCCAGTGTTGTTCCTTTATATAGGTATATATACTATTTTTGTTTTCTCTTTTAAAGTATAATGTTAATCATATAGAATGTACTTTATTTCCCTATACATTTGACTTAATTTTCTAGTAAAACATCCCCATTATTATTTTTTATCAATGTGACGTCAATTGTTATGTAACTGTAAGCTTCCGTGAAGTGGATGTGTCATTGTTTCTGATTTCTTACCACTAAGATTGTGCTGCTGATAAATGAAGTTGTTATTTCTTATCAGTTAAGATGATAATATGTATCTTTGTTTATAAACCTTTTTCAAAAGCTATATTTCTTTTAGCAATATTTCCAGATATGAGCGGTGTCAAAAGGTATTTCCAAATTGTTTCAAAAAAGTTTTCTCTCAGCTCATTCCACTGGCACCTTGTGGATGAAGGTCATAAAGAAATCTCATTGACGACATCCTTACTCTTTTGTGCCTATTCTGTTTCCATGTGGCTGTATACAAGGGATTAATTTCTTCTAAAGAATCATATGTCAGTTTTTTTTAAATGTTAGTTTCACTCTTCGGTTGAATGTTTCTTATCTGAAAATGACCTTGTGTCCTCTCCTTTATCAGTTTATCATTTTGCTGTCAAAAAGGTCAGTAGCATCATTTTCTGGTTAGGAAAGTATTCAGGATTCATTATTTAAAATAATCTGAAAATACAAAAGAGAATGCTGTGTTTTTATCACTGCCAGTATTACCTTCCTTTCTTATGTTACTTACTTTATTGATGAGACAATAGAGCATACTTCCCAAAAGTTTACATCAGACAAGCCAAGATTCAAACCACAGCTCTCGTGTTCACCAACATGGCAAGCTGTGGAACTACTCTGAGGCTGTCCTCACCTGTAAAACGGACATGCTTAGAACCTGCTTCAAAGTTCGGTTGTAAGGATTTCATGAGATCCTGCTGAGAGAAGACATAGCCCTTGGCACAATTTACTGGCCCGGGGCCCCTAACTAATTGTCCTCTGTAGTGATCATCCTTTATCAACTGACTCCTAAGCCCTTAGCCCAATTTTTTACCATAGCGTTTATTTTATCATACTGATTTTAAGAGCTATTTATGTATCATGGAATTAAGAACAATACTGTTCGTTTCAAATGTTTTCCCAGTTTGTTTTTTGTCTTATAGTCTACTTAGGACAATTTCACATTATGTTTGCTGCTGTGGTCTCAAAAGCCCTTATCTTTTCCAGGGTTAGGAAGAGGAGTGTTATTTTCCTCATATTCCTTCAAAAAATTATGCACAAAGAGCCATCAAAAAGTTTGTGGGAAATATAATAAAAGATAAAAGTAAAAAAATACAGTCATTTGTCAATGCAAGCTCCATCAAGGAAAAGACACTCTTTTATTCAAAATATCAGCTATTTAGCTTATCCCTAAAGAACTGAGGGATTGTAACCATGCTGAGGCAGTATTTTTGCATTACTAACTGTAGCAAAATGGGTGCCCTTTAAAGAATTTTTAAGATTGAAAACAAAAAGAACTATAAGGTAGATAGATGCCAGAACTATAAAGTAGATGGATGCCTAATGATTTCCTATCACAACTCTCCCCGAAAACTGCTCACTCTTGATGAGAGGAATGAGCAGGTGAAACAATTCTAAGAGGGTTTTGGGTTTTGCTGGCTACAATTTTGGCTACTTTTCTCAAAACAGTCTCATGAAAGCAGCTGTTCTTTGGCTCCTCAGAAAGCAAGCACAATGTGTTGAGCATCCCCCAAAACTGATGCCATGACTTGTTCTTGAGTAGTCTGCTCTTACTCCGACTGGGCCACTTCCACCCACCTCTTGGCAGCCATTACTTTGATTGTGCTTTGTCTTCAGGAGCACACTGGTAAAGCCTTGTTAGTTCATCCGTTACAGTTCTTCAAACAGGTGCTCTAAGATGTTGACCCACTTGTTTAAAATTTCCATTGATCTGGTCACAGAAATTTTGGCACCTATCATGCAGACAGATTTTCTTAACTTTTAATTTTTCAGTCAGAATTTTGTAAGCTGAACCACTTAAAATGTGAATGGTGTTGCCTATTGTTGCTTGTTAATTATGGGTCCTCTTCTGTTAAGGCACAAACAAGAGTAATTGCTTCCTCTCAAATTGAAATGATGCTCTGTTGCCGTTTGCATCATCTCCAACATTGCCTGGGCCTTTCTCAAATGGAGTTTCCCATTTGTAAACTACTGATTTCTTTGGAGCATTGTCCCCACAAACTTTTCATAAATCATCAGTGACTTCACCATTCTTCCACTCAAACTTTCCTATAAATTTGATATTTGTTCTTGCTTCAGTTTTAGCAGAATTCATGTCCCTCTGAAATAGGCTCTTTTCAAACTGATGTCTTATCCTTAGCTGTGTTTTAACAAGTTAGTATGAGTTTGTATTGGCACAAAACAAAACTTTTAAATCCTTGCGTAGTTTTTTTTTTCATGATTGACATTTTCCATAAACTTTTGGAGTGTCCCTCACATTAATCAAAGAATTATTTGGTATGAACTAGGGTAGAGAGCTATAGCTTTCCTTTTCCACAGGGTCTTCCTCTGTTTCACTTCCATTTGTTGAATAACCTGCTTATCGGTTTAAAAGCCATGTTAACAGATGCCATACTAAGCTCTTCAATTTATGTGGCTACTGTGCTTTCCAAGAATGACCACCTTACATCATAATTATCAGAACTATTACATATTGAGCTATTAAAATATACATCACATTTGACTTCATTATATAGAAAATAGCTACATATTTCTTGCTGGTTCAAAAGAATTAAGTTTTCATATTAAGCAAAAAAGAAAAGAATCCAGATTACAGAGAAAAGAAAAATGAATAATCTAACTCAGATGACACTTAACACTGATATATCCTTTCTGACATTTTTATGCATATATGCCCATATACATTGTTATTAAAATTTACCTCATTTTATATACATACGTATTTAAGAAAAACACTATTTTCTGTAAGTAAGTAATCTAAAAAGGCTTTTATAAATTATTGGCTAGCCAAAAGCCTATGTAATTTGCATTTTTCACCAAGTCAGTATTACTTGTCTTTAATGAAAGTGCTTTAAGTTTCTGTAACTCTTGTAGATTTCTTTTTCTTACATTTATTCGATATTTAAGAACATACTGTTTTTCTATGCATCTTATTTTATTCTCAGTCAGGTTTTTTATATTTTCTTCCATTTTCTATACCACTCAAGGTCCTTCTTACACATATGCTATGATTTTTCAAAGAATGTTCATTGAAAATTATTTGAATTGGCTTAGTCTCTTTCCTGCCCAAACACTAACAGAATTATGATGGTCGTCATTAAGTAGTATTAAAACGGAAGCAGAATGTTTGTCCGTGTCCTCTCTCCAAACGACTGGCATCTGATCACCTGCCGCAGTTGAACAGCGAGCCAGACCGCAGGTGACTCCGAAGACCGAAACAATGGCTCGGCTTCTGCACACGGGGTAATCTAAATGGAGCCTGCCCCAACAGCCTTAGGGCACATGATCAAGGTCTATAAGGTGTTAAAGATTTGGATTTAGTGAACCATCTGTAATAAAGACCGGAAAGGAGAAGATAGTGTAAGGGAGTTAAAATTCAGTAGCAAGACGAGAGATACAGATAATTGACGCATCCAAACAGTAAAGAGGCAGTCTTCTTTTCTTTTGTTAAAAATGGGTTAAGATAAATGTGTGTTAGGGGTAGTCCTCTGGGTTCTTTTTAAGTGGTTATTATACAAGTGCTATCAAATGGCAACCCATAGGTTTCCTTCTAGTCTGGATGTGGCGTGTTGGTCACCTGCGTGTCGGGGACACTTGTTTTGCTGCAGGAGTAGCACAGCCTCGAGCTCCAGAGGAAACGGGAGCCACAGTAACTCTGAGGGGCAGGAGGAAGCCTTGCTCGCACAAAGCTCAGTGCAGCCACCAAAAGGAGACGCTGAACCAAGTAAGCTGCTAGGTGGCTTGTATCATTACGAAACCCCAATCTCTTTCTGTTCTCACGCTGCGCTTTTGTGTCTTGTCTCTAATGAACTGCTTTTGCGCCTGCCGTCCAGCGGTCACTGGTGATTGGAAGGTAAGTAGCTGCAGAAAGCCAGGACGGAAGCAGTTAAGAAAGGGACTTATGGGGCAGCACCAGTCTCCCTCCAGGCACACAATGACCAAGCCCGGTCGTACTCAGACCATGAATGTGTGACAGAGAAATGTTTGTTAGAATTCTTTGCCTTTTTATACTTAGCACTGTCATCCAAAGTTTCAGTCTGGATTCTTTCAAAGGGTACACGGGCTTTATTAGGGCAGGTCAGGAAATAAAATCTAAACAGATTTATGTGGGGATTTATATATCTTAGGAAATAAAATCTAAACAGATTTATGAAGTGCCATTTGGGGAATGTTTTAGAACTCCTTGCTACAGTATTTTCAAGTGACCATTATTACATGAAGTGCAGGACCTACCACAGAACTTGGCACACAGTAGATGTTCAGTACATGCTGAATAAATGAAGGAACAAATGCCGTGTTTTGCTCCTCATTGAACTCTTGCTTCACTCAACAGCTATCATCAGTCCTGCTCATAGCGACCCCATAGGACAGGGCAGAACTGCCCATGTGGGTTTAAAAGACTGTAACTGTGCCTCCTCTTTCTCCCAAGAGTTGTTTTACACACACTTAATTCTGATCAATCTCGTCAATACTTAGTTATACTGAGATACTTATTCATTCAATAAGAAAAATTCTGTTTCTTACCAAATAGCTCAGGAAACAAGAGATTGATAAGATTTAAGTATGTGTAAAACAGCTCTCTGGGAAGCCGACAACCAATTGGGAACAAAGATGAATAATCCCTCCTGGCTTGTGCACCTAAACGACTCCAGTCAGTACCTTCAGAGACCGAGGCAGATGTCTAGGACAGTTTAAATCACAAGGGGGCAGAAAAGTCTTCCTTTATAAGGTTAGATTTTGAGCATGTTTGAAGACAAAACAAGACCAGTATTAACTAAGGAATAATCTAGGTAGACATTCTTCACAGCAATCTCGCTTTGGGAGGGACAGTGGGCACAATTGTCCATTCGCTACTAGTGTTTGTGTAATTTTGTGTGCTCATACAGATTTAAATTATATCGAGGGTAAGGGGCTTATCTGTCTATCATCGTTTGTTACCCAGAAAGTTATAAACTGTCAGAGAAAACCAGCCTCTTAGCATCCGAAGTGTCGGCAAGCGCAGTTGTATGGTTATAAGATATAAACATCATAGTAAAGTCGTCGTCGTCGAGAACAGGAAAGATAGGAGAGAGACTGCAGTAAAGGTGTCAGACACATTTTATGGTAGCATGCTCTCCTCAGCCCCTCTTGGTGGTCCATGTGGAGGTGGGAGAAGAGAGCGAATCTTTACTGTCTTGGGATATTTATAGGTAGCCATAAGACATGCATATTTAGTAGTTCCATATGTCATATCGTGGATGGGATCTACAATAAGGTCCCTGAGCTCACAAGTGAGGAAACCTAATACTACCTGCATTGGGGGAAGGTATTAGGAGGGCTGGGTGGCATGGCAGGAGGAGATAGCAACAGGATGTCTGTTTCTGTAGGGAGATAAAATCAGCCATGTGCTCTCTTTAAGGCAGCATAGCTGTTAGGGAAGAATCTGTGGGAACGCTATTTAAAGCAGGATCATGTATTTGGACTTTATCTCTAACTTACTAAAGTGGTGGCTTTCCAACCATGGAATACTGGCTTTCCAGATTCACTCTGTTATAAGTTAGAGATTAGAGTCCTAGTCATATTTCCCTCAGTGTTTCCCACAATAAGCCATTTATCACTAGGAAAACTGGCATAGAAAGTTGGTGCTTGTTTTTCTTTTAAAAAAAATTGATAATCTGCTTCCAGAAACTCGTGAAGCATCATCTGAAGATGTGACGCAATATCAGGAAGGTACATCTGCTGAAGACGCAGTCGAGAACCCAGTAGATAGAGGTGAGTTGTCTTATCATGGGAAGATAAGCTTTGATCTGATTTAGTTGCTCTGGCCTCCCAGGTCATTTCCAACTAGATGTGTTATGTAATTTCTTTCTCTCTGTTCTAAGGGAATTAGAGTTCATATTAGAAAATGTACCAGTTTTCAAAGTCTGCATTAGGTTGAATCATGAATGTTGCCCACGTGACCACTTGCATCCACTTTATTTTCTGACAGCACAATCTGATAAGGTTACACCTGCGCCATTGGATTCTAGCTCAGGAGAAAGGAATGACCCCAGTCTTGAGAGCCTTTGTGCGGTTCCAGAAGAATCCGCGCTATCTGAAAAAGACGAGGAGCCAGAGACCTCAGACCCCGTCAGCACTGAGCGTGCTGCCACTCAGGTGACCACCAGCCCTGAGCCCCAGCCCCAGACACAAGCCATCGGACCTTTACTTCTCGAGGGAACGTCAGCCAGAGACTCTGCTCTCCAGGACACAGACGACAGCGATGATGACCCGGTCCTGATTCCAGGTGCAAGGTACCGAGCAGGACCTGGTGATAGGTGGGTAAAATTTTAATTCGCATGAATGATAAAAAGCAAAAACAACAAAACATAGTACACATGCTTTTGTTGGGAATCACGTAAGGAATTCTCTTCATGTTTGACATTTGATTCTTCCTCTAAGAGCGTCTCTCTCCTAGAAATGCACAAAATTCTGAAAGTTGTCATTGACCGCATTTTACGGTTTTGTGAACAAACTGTTAAGAGGGAAATGAGAAACCCTCATTGCTCGTTTATCTCCAGCACAGAGGTTTGTGCCTCCGGTTACAGATCAAGAGTAAGGAATCCAGCGAGTGAACCACAGGCTCTTTGTAAACTCCGGGTTATAACTAGGTGTCAGAGTGCCAACAGACAACTTGACCTTTATCAGTGGCTTTTTGATGGTCTAGTTTTTGTAGTTTTCTACCATTCATGGATTTAGGTTATGTGAACTTTTTTTTCCTCTTTATGGAAACATTTTGTTTGTCTCTGATTCCTACTGAACTTAAATGACTCAATTTAGGAAATAACAAATTATGTCATTTATCATATTTGATCTACAACAGAACGATGGTCAAACAATTTTTTCGTGTTTCATTTACTGTGATCATGAGAATATATTTAAAATATGTCACATGACCATGTTTCTAGAAAACCATTTCTTTATTAACGACAACACATCGCGTTGTAAATGTCGCCCTTTTCCACTTTTGTCTTAAAATCTTAGTTCAAACAAGAGAGATTCTCTTTGAACCATGCCATATGTTTATTACTATATTTGATAGACTGCTATTTAGAAAATATTCCGACATACGTATCATCTGAAAAATGCAATGAAAAGTTGAACTTACGAAAGAGTAGCAATGTTGTATAGTGGTCAAGAGCATCATGACGTGACCTCACCATTTCCTGCCGTAGCTGTCGTTCCTGAAATTGCTTCACATCTCTTCACGATTCAGCTTCTTTATCTGTAAAATTTGGAGGTAATTATCTAGGATGATTTGGGGGGGAATTGTTACAGAGCTCGGCTCACTTAGAAGTATTATATAAATGATGGCTATTTTAAATAGCCAACGTGTTCTGTGTATCCAAAACCAAACTCGCTGCCACTGAGTCGATGCCGACTCACAGTGGAGCTGCCCCTGTGGGTTCCCGAGTCTGTAACTCTTTACAGGAGAAGAAAGCCCCATCTTTCTCCCAGAAAGCAGCTGGTGGTTTCAAACTACTGGCCTTGCAGTGAGGAGCCCAACAGGTAACTGCCACGCCACCAGAGCTCCTCTATTTTTGGTAGGTACTTTAAATTTAAAGGAATTACAGAATGCGTGGTTGTAGGGACAAGGGCCCACAGAAGACAAACAAAATCTCCTGGGCCGTAGGGTTTGCAGCTCATGAAAACGACCTATTCTTAACTGGGAAGGGATACCTGTCTTCCTGTAGTCATAGTTGGGAGCTGTTCACTTAGCCACAGCACTACTTTAAGTATTTTTAAATGACCTTTCTTTGCTTTGAGATTAAACATCTTCTCTTTACGTGTCACACATTAGTCTTCAGCATTCTCAGAATATTTGAGACAAGTAATATTTAGTTTCATTTGTTTCCATATGCAAAGAGTGGCCTTTGATGTATGCAAATAAGGTTGGTTAGCAAGCGCAAATGATTTGAAAACCAAACTTATGGTTTCCAAAGCCCAGGGTGAGAAACTAGTTTCTATAATTAATTTACTGTCTTCTATTTATATAAATGAACATATGTCCTCTTTTTCCTTCCCTGTATTTAAGTAGCTAAACAAGCTATCGAGGTTGTACTTGGAAACATAATTTACATACCCAGTTTCTACTAGAATGCAGCATATTACTGTCCTGGTTTGTTTATTTAAGTCAGAAGTTTTGTTTTCTTGTAGTAGATCATCAACAAAAGAAGAGGGTTTGGGAGGAGAGAAGCACTAGGGAATCCCAAACTTCTTACAGTGTATGAGCCTTAGGATAAATCCAAAATGACTACCTTGTACTTACTTATTGAGATCCTGGTGATTTATTTATCATTTTCGCAATACTTAACACACTTCAGAGATGCTCCTTGAGCAGCGGTTCTCAACCTGTGGGTCGCAACCCCTTTGAGGGTCGAACAACTCTTTCACAGAGGTTGCTCGATTCATAACAGCAGCAAAATTACCGTTATGAAAAGAAATGAAAATAATTTTATGGTTGGGGGATCCCCACAACATGAGGCACTATATTAAAGGGCCGTGGCATTAGGAAGATTGAGAACCACTGTCCTAGAATTACTCCCAGAGAAATGACTCCTAAGACCTCTTGGACCCAGGAAAGGCAACACTGCACCAGACAAGCAGGATCTTTTCGAGGAGAGAGGATTTGAGACACCCCTGTACCAACGTGTACTTAAGTATCTGAGTTTCAAGATTTTTTACTTTCAAAGTGGCAAAGGCTTCAGAAGCTCTACTGTAAAAATTGTGCCTCTCATAAATGCCATTGGGTCTTAGAGTCCTTGAAAATGTTCCCAACATTGAATGAAGTGCCAAACTAAAAGGATGCAAGTCTTAAAGTTCCCTTCTTGCTGTCAAGATTAGTTTGGTTAGTGCAGAAAAATGGACTCAAAATGAAGAATGGCAAAAGTAGATACTAAAATATATACGGTTCTTAAAGACATCTGTACTATGATTAACGTAAGAATTATATAATGGGTCTCATAATTTTTGGCCCCAAATTTAATTCTTAAAGCTTAAAAAAAGAATAGCTGTGATTTTTAACATGCATTTAATAAAAATAGTAAAATATCCCTTGCAATGCTGTCATTTTTTTAAAAAGATTTGCATTCTTGTAATTAGGTCAAATAATTATGATCGAAGCTTTCACTTTTATGCAAAGAGCAAGCATGAGGAGGAAATGTTTTAGAAAATAAAGGCCTTAACAACTAACATAGACACTTTAAAATGGAATGCTCTTTTCATTAGCTACAGTTGTCCCGACATAAATTTACCTAGGACTCTCCAAGCAGAGGTCAAGAGACTTTTTTCTTAAACGACCAGATAGCAAATATTTTAGGATTTGTCGGCCAGGAAGCAAAATGGAGGGTATTATGTGTGTACTTGCACAACCATTTTAAAATGTAAGCACTTAGAAATAGGACTGTTCTTTGATGATAAGCCATTAAAGAAAAAAAAAGAAAATCTGACAGCTGGCCAGATTTAGTCCATGAGCTCCAATTGCTGATCTCTGTTTTCTAATAAATCCATCGTATCGCGTATTGTGGTAAAATTCCTCTATTGACAGAAGTCCAAAGTTTGAATTAATGAAACTGAACCACCACGCATTTGGGTCCCTTTAGCTTTGTCAACGGTAAGAGCATTCAATGGGGAAAAAAATGTAAAGACAGTCAAAAAATATGCCCTCTAATTGTGATGTTTTGAAGAACAGTTAATTAAATTAGCACTTGATCCCTTCGAAGTTTTCGATACTAAGTTTTAGAAGCATAAAGATGTGCCTTTTGAGTAAAATGGTCCTCCAGCCTTGCCTTTGGGCGGTGATCAGGTTTCCGGGAAGGCAGTGTTCGCGTCAGCTTTTCTCAGTGCCAGACCCGTCATGTCGGGAGTGACACGGCCACTGGACCGGTGGCCTCCGTGGCCTGCCAAACTCAGGAGGAGACCTATGAAACCGCTCTCTGAAAAAGGCCAGCCTGTGAGAAAAGCTGCGGAAGAAGTCTTCACATGGGTGTGAATGGTGCTTACAGTTAAAGTGGTCTGAAGGTGTTTGCTTGTTTTTCCCCAGTGAAGTTTAAGGGCATTGAGCCGATAGGGCCTGAATAATCACTGTTCTTAAAAAACAAGAAGACTTATTTGCATAGAACTTTTGTTCCATGTACCTACCCTGAGCCTGGTGGAACATAGCCTTTGTTTTTAAATTCAAGACTCATTGTACATTTGGAATTTTGAACAATCTATTCGGTCATCATGTAAATCACTCTTTCAACATTTCTAATGATCCCAGCTTATTCTCTCCAGAAGAAAATTGCAGAGGAGGAAAAAGAATAGTAACCAGGGAGAAAGAATGGGCTCCCTAAGGAACCAGAAGCACTGCTAGGCCTCTTTTGCTTGTTGTGGTGTCTTCTGGGTAAGCCAAATGAGTCAGCTCGGGGCTAATGATTTCTCAAAGAGCTGCCTAACCTTGAGGAGCGAGCATACTGTAGGTGTTCCGTGGATGGTGTTCTGGAGTAAGTGAGTCAGTTCAGCTCCCCACGCTCTGGACAGGGTCAGCTTCTCCTGTTTTCAAAGGAAACGATATTCAGTGCAGTGTCTCCGTTCCAGTCTATCCTGAGTATAAGTTTCTGTCTGTTGGTTTCCTCGTACACATTTACTTGAATAACGTATTCCTCACTTCTTGTCCTAAATCACAAAGGGAGGCAACAAGTCTTTATGAAGATACGTGATGACCTTAATGCTTTCGGTCTCTGGTTCTCTGAAGCCCTGGTGAGTGACTTTAGTCATTGTGTCCCTTCACTAGATTCCCTGTCAGAGGAACAGCAGTAGGTGATAGAATAAGGAGGTAATCCGTATGTTCCTTCGTTATTTTGTTTCGTCTTCGTGGTGGGTGTGCCAGGTCCTTGTTTCCACAGCTAACCTCCTTTCCTATTAACAGTTCATACTTCTCTGAACTTGCTGAATCATAAGTGCTAAGCACTGTAAAGCAGGTTGCTTTTTATAAGTGATATTTAGCTGCATGCACTGCATGAGAAAAACGTGAAAAGAAATTTATTGTGTGCAAATATAACTGATGTTCACTTCCAAGTGTGTCACATGACAAAGTAACTATAACCTGGAGTGATGTACTTTCAACATAGGTTACATGCTCTGAAATTTTTGTTAACAAATGCAGCGTATGATGGTTTCTTTGTTGTTGTTTTTTTAGTGGGAGGGGCTTAGGGAATAACACTTGCAACTTTTGTTATTCAAATATGTTCCTATTTTTTGAGATGAGTAACTGAAAATGGACTTGATTCTAATCCTGTGCATAAATAGACAATCCTGGTTTTCTGAAAGAAAGCCATTTCCTTATGAATAACTTAATAAATCAAGACTGTTGAACAACAAGATAATTTATAACCCCCAAACTACTGTGCTTTCAAGTGTGACAATGGGCCGATTTTAGAGTAGAACTGTCAAGTGAATCTCAGTCCCATCAATCATCACCACAAACTTGACTCACTGACAAGAATCTGAGTCAAGTTTTTAGACTTCACTCTAATTACACATGTCGGTTATTGTCATTAGAGTCTAAATTTAAGTGTAGCATAAGATACACAGCAACACTCAGAAGTGTGAACTTGATGGGAAACAGTGAAATAAGCCAAGACATCGTTCAGATGGGTGGGACTCCCTCGTTAAGGCGCAGTCTCGAGAATTTTACCATGTGATAGTCAGAAACTTATTTGTGTGCTCCTGTTTCTAAGGCTGTTTTAACATGAAGGTGTATTTGGGAGAACTTTTAACACATTAGTTACACTTTTCATTGGATGACATTAGAATGGAATTTATTTTAAAGCTTTTTATTGTATTTGTATTTTTTGTCTCAGGTGCTCAGAGCCGGTTTCTGCTTTTATGACTAAAAAGCGTCGTTGTTAGTGGCTGTGAGTTGGTTCCAGGTCCCAGGGACCTGATGCCCAGCAGAACAAAGCCCTGCCCAGGGCTGCCATCCTCACAGCTGGTTTTGTGATTGAGCCCATTGTGGCAGCCACTGTGTCCATCCATCTTGTCGCCTTTTTTTGCCGCCCCTCTACTTTAGGAAGCATGATGTCCTTCCTCAGGGACTGGTCTTTCCTGACAGCACGTCCAGAGGACAAGAGGTGAAGTCTCACCATCCTTGCCTCTAGAGAGCTTGCGGACTGTACTCCTTCCAAGACAGATCTGTTGGTTCTTCTGCCAGTCCATGGTACCATAGTCCAAATGCACCGATTTCTCTTCAGTCTTCCTTAGTTAATGTCCCACGTTCACGTGCATGTGAGGCCATTGAGAATACCATGATTTGGGTCAGGTGCACCATAGTCCTCAAAGTGGAGTGTCCTTGCTTTTCAACACTTTGACGTTGCTTAAAATCAGGTCAAGAAAAGCAAAAATCATGAAATGGAGATTATTATGATCCAGTAAACCATGGTAAAAACAGTTGCCTCCCCATGAAATATTGGAGATTAGATCCATTCTTCTCAATCTCATTCATTTTTTCACTTGTATAGAGATTGTCTGGGAAGTTTTCTAGTTTTAAAGCATTGATTTGTTTTGTTTGCATCTAACCCACTCTAGCAATTTAGCCAATTAAGAGGTGCTCCTGGAATGTTAAGACCTGTGAATTTAAAAGTAAAATTATAAAAGTAATATCACAGTCTGTTTTCTCTATTACTCATGTAGTAATTTCTCTGGAGATTGTTGTGTGTGTTTTATAAATGTGTTTGAGCATAATGCACTAAGATTCCATTTTTCCCAGACTAGCAAACAACATGGTGGCCACTCCCTAATCCCAGCTCCATCCAGGCTTCCTCCATGGTGCGTGAGGTCCTTTTTCCTTGGCTCTGCTTCTGTACTACCCATGAGGAAGAAAAACCCAAGCTGCCTTGCCTGGTGTATAGGACTCCCCGTGGCTTCTGTGTTACTGCCAGGAATTGCTCAGACGCTGCATCAGCCATGTGTGGCCTCTTTGTTTCTGAACACGTTCAGAGAGCTGGATCATTTATGCTGCTTAATGCCTTCTCATCTTTACTTCCCCTGTGTTCCCTTTACCCGAATGGGTCTCTCTACTGCCCTCCCATTACCGGCACCAACCTTCTGACCACCTCAACCTCCCCGAATCTTCTGCTTTCTGAACTTCCTGACCCGTGCGTTCCATATGCCAACTAGAACTGAACATTGTTTCTGTGTACTGTACTCTATAGCTACAGTGCCACTAGTAACACTTCATAGAGTGTGTGTGTGTGGTTTGTATCTAAGAATGCAAGCACCTTTCACATCTGCATGATGCAGACATAAGAAAAGTTGGCAAATAAAGTACCATTTTAGTCTAACACACTAGTTAATTTATTTATATTCCCCAGACTACCTGACTTAGAGCTTTTTCCCTCTGCTTCTTACAACTTAGAAGTAAATGAAAGACAGATGAATTCCTCCCTGCAATCTCCTACACATGTGACAATTCCTCGGACTCCCAGGGCCCAGAGACACTGTGCCCGCAACCATGGCTGTGCTTGATTACACAGCAACGGCAAAGGGCCCATTAGATGGAGTCTGCAAGAGTACAGGCAGAGATTCCATTGTTCTTTCCCCAAGAGAGGCCACTTGAAGCATGCTCCTCCCCAGAGCATTTCCCAGCACTCGTGCAGTGTGTCTGTTCCCAAAGCCCAGGGTTTTGATTCCGGCTTGATCATCTAAGCCCTCTGCTTGTGTGCCACCCACAGCCACCAGAATCCAGACCCAAACGGATAGCAGGTGTTGACCCAGAAATCAATCCCAGTATTTATTTGTACAATGTGAGCAATCTGTACAGCCGTGTTCCTTAAATGTTCCAGGCAGTCAAAACTATGTAGGAAAAATGTTAAACCAAGTTCCCAGGTTCTAACAAAGGACCAGTGCTGCCAGCAGCACTTTCTTGAGAGAGCAGCCTTTGTTCACTAAGACAGTGAGAAAAGAATCACTTTCTTTGCCCACTTGTCCCCTCGATGAGAAAGGAACAAGAAGACACTCTCTGGCAGCCTGCTTGGCTCTCTTAGTTCAGGTCTTGCAAAGACATATTGGAATGGCAGAAATTCCAATATAGAGACCTCACTTACTGGGAAAGCTAGATGACAAACTTTTACTATAAACAATTTTTTGAAGGCACTTTTTTTTTTTAATGTTAACACATCTTTTCTAAACTCTTATTCATAGATCCACGTGAATAGCAAACACCTTTTAATTTTCTGGTAAATCTTAATTCTTTCTGAGTAATTACATATTCTAGATTAACCAATACTTGGTGAATGGTGTAAAGCCCGTTCCAGTTCCTGGCAGCCCCATGTGTGTCAGAGTAGCCCTGTGCTGTAGGGGGTTCTTCTTGTCTGAGTTTCAGGTAGTAGAGAGGTAATATCTTTCGCAGATGCCTCGGGGTGAGCCCAAGAACTTCCAGCCTTCCAGTTAGCAGCCAAACGGGTTAACTTCTATATATATAGGAACTTAAAATTCTCAATTAGGATATTCACGTTAAGGAGATGTTCTTTTCTAAAAATCATGTGCATGAGGAACTTTTAAAGGTCTGTGTGGAAATGCTGTTATATTTCCATTCCATTTTTCCACAGAATCTTGGAGCCCTTTCATATGAACATTTTAAAAATAATATTTGTGATTTTAAAATTCATATACTGAAGAACTGTGTATTCATAATTAAAATGAGACATTTCCAAAGAGGTGTTAATAAATGGAACTCATTCTTTGGTTCTCATATCTTTCTCTCTTCTTTATTTATGCCTGGAAATGTTTCTTTGACATATACCCATAACAATTGTGCATCTTATACTTATGAAAGTGGAGATAGAAATGCAAAAACTTCCGCAAGCACTCTCCTGTTGAAGGGGAGAAGTGGGGGAAATGGCTCTCTCTCTCTCTCTCTCTATACATATATATATATATATACAACCCTGATTCTGCAGTCTTTGAGCTGAAAAAACAGTGGCCGATACCCCAGCATTAGTAGCAAAGTTTAAATAAATGAAAACAGCAGATGCTGTTGAGGGTCTGGGGAGACAGAAGCCCTCACATATTGCTGATAGAACTTTAAAAATAGTATAACCACTATTTTATGGGAAATGGTACGGTGTGTCATTTAACATTTTGGAAATAGAAATGTATATAATCCAGCAATCTTGGTGTCAATCCTAGAGAAATAAGAACATGGCACAAATAGGTACTACTGGGATAGTTTTGTGTCAGCTTGGCTGAGTCAGGATTCCCAGTGATTTGACAATTTACACCCCCATGATACTGTATCACACAATGTGATCAACTCCGTAATGGGATCTGCGAGCAGCCAATCTGTTGTAAGAAGATTAGGGAACACTGTTGCCTCACTCAGGTCACAGCCATGATGCAATTGAGAAGACATGGCTTTCATCCTACAAAAGTGGAAGACTGTTGAAATGTGCTTGCTTTTTGCTGGGTCTGAATCCCATGTCAAACTCATCAGTCTGTGGACTTGCACTACAGTGTGCCATATTGCTGTGGATCTTGGGAGCTCTCAGCCATCTGCCAGTTGACCTGCTGACCTTGGATTCATTCCCCTCTCCGGTCATAAACCTAACCTGCTGGCCTTAGATTCATCTGACTTTGCGGTCTGCAGTATCTGGATTACCTGCCATTTGGGGTTATTGGCCGTCCCCTCCTGCCCCTCCCCCAAGCTTCATGAGTCAGGAATTGCCTCCAGCTTATCATCTGACCCACAGATTTGAAACCACGGTCTTCAATTGTATGAGTCATTTTCTTGATATAAATTATTCTCTTTACACACATACGGAAGCATCACTAAAAACCCAGCATAACCCATGCACACACCCCTGTTCATCTCAGCACATTCAGAATAGCAAAAAGATGGAAGCATCCTAAATGCCTGTCGATAGTAGAATGGATAAACAAACTATGGTACATGAAAAGGAATAAATGCTATGCAACACTAAAGAATAACATTCAGTCTGCAAAATGCATTATAACGTGGATGAACTGGGAGGACATTATGCTGAATGAAATAAGTCAATCTCAAAAAGGACAAATATGTGAAACCACCATTGTAACAAAGTAAAGAAAAGGATACCACACTAACACAAACATTCTTTGATAGTTACCAAATGAGATGGGAAAGTAGGGTAAGCTACTGTTTAAAGTGCAGACACTTGGTAACGTAGGTGAAGGAAAGGCAACATGCAGTAAAGAAGGGAGGTCAGCAAAAGATGATAGATCATGGGAGGAGTGCACATGTGGAGGGAAACTAGGAGTGCATCTATGAATATATATGTAGGCGTGACAGGACATGTGTACACGTGTTTGTACAAATAACTTGTGCTGCAAATACATCCATGAATGTTGTTTTAGTCTGGGTTGCTAGAGAAACAAATCCAGAGACAATCGTGTGTTAGAGAGAGCTTTATGTCAAAGAGCAATTGAGAAAACATCCCAGCCCTGTCCAGATCAAGTCCATAATTCCGATATTAGCCCATATGTCCAATACTAGTCCATAAATTCCTCTTTAGACTCACACTGCATGTGCAATGATGCCGAATGCAATAAGGTCACAGGTCACTGGGTAGAAATTCGTGTGGGTTCAGTGGCAATGGAAGCATCTCGACGCCAGTGTGCATCTCCACGTGGCTCCCTCCACTTCTCTTGAGTGTCTCAACAGCAGAAAAGGGAAGGCAGATCAAGAGTAGGTTCGACCTCCAGTGAGCTATTTATCTCCATAGTGCGTCCAAATGAGGTCATCAAGCTGCGACTTGGTTGACAGGCTAAACTCCACCCCTTCCATCTTAATACCCTCAAGTTGATAGGACAGTATGTAACACCATAGACCGTCCCTTGCCAACGTGACACCTTTACACAACTCTTTAGCCATGTCTAATTTTTAAACAAGACAATAGTAAAATCATATCTGTGCCTAACAACATAGAACTGAAATGCAAACAATTCAAAATGTGCCAGCCGTATTTAAACATAATATTCTATAAGTGAACAAAACAAAAATATTGTACACTTAAGATTTGCAGTTATGTGAACTACACTTTAATCCTGTAATCCTATGAATATATTCTCCCACCTATGAAAAATTTTAAGACAGCCACTTCATGCCTTTATCCATCCAATTTTGGGTATCCAGTTTCTGTACTGCTCACTTATACCAACCCAGCTCTGTGAGGACACAAGCAATGTTCCTTGATGTGGAGAATCTTCATTCCAATTGGAACCTTGCATAAGCAGTCTGGGACAGGTGATCCATAAAGTCAGCAGCAATATGCACCAATTCATAGGCTCAAAAATCTCATCTTCTGCTTTGTTGCTGTTTTGTTGTACATTGTTGCTTGTTTTTGCTCTGTCTTGTTTTTGTTCATGTTGTTGTCTCCGCAGGTCTGTCTGGATAG